TTTAGACCTATTGTCTTGTGTATAATCCTCTGTCCTGTGTGAGAGTAAATCCGTCCATCAACCTCACTCTAATAAGACCTAATTGAATTACTCTGACTAGGCAAAATTTTTAATTAACTTTGTCAATAAAGATGTTGATAATAATTGTTGTAAGAGGTGTCAAGAAACTTGAAAGTACGCAGAAGATATACACATAATATGGCGGCAGGTGAAGACACATACAGTGTACACAATGATAATGATTTTATTTTAAAGTCTCCTCTAGCAGGAATAGTTGACCTGTAATCTCCGTACCGAGTTCTCTTTAATTAAGCCAATTAAAAATAGATGACGGAAATACAATCCGTCACTAATATCCATAACAATATCTCGTAAGCAGATATAATATTATTTAAAAATATCAGATTTGTTCTGTTTGAAATGAGCAAAAGTCTTATGCAGTGTTCAGTCATTTGTCACAACATTCTCGCCAGTCTGAGGGTGAGAGAAGGTAAGGTGATTATCGCGAGAAAGCACCAAGCCATTACGACTATACAGCACTTGCAAGGGCTATGAGGATAACGGTTTAGGATAGGACGGAGGGCAGCAATGCTGCCCCAAACACTGGGACTGGACGGTTAGAGTGAATATATAAATACAATAAGCCGTAATAATATAGTTAACAAATCCACATATTTACGAAAATGTTATATGATAAGAGAGGAGTGTAGGCAGGAGTGAGGACAGGAAGCAGTCTTGGACACCTCATTAAGACAGTAAGTAGTGAGCCAAATAATATCATCTGTGTGTTACATGTACTTGACTCAAAAATTTCATATATCTTTAATTAAATCCTCATAGATGAAAATATTCTACATTTGTTGTTTGTGTGTATGTGTGTGTGTGTATAACCAACTGGTGGAAAGTCCCTATGTCGGTACATACACATCACAAACCAGTAATCCTGGCTATTTCTCGCAAGATCCCTTATTAATAACTTTTTAAGTTTGAAAACCACTTTTCTTAATGCTATACAAAACAAATAATTGCCAACAGTATCAAAACACACAATTAAACGTTGGCCAACCTTAACATACATCCAAATAATATAAATAATAATTTACGTTTCAGAAAAAAACAAAATAACGCATTTATCAGCTCGCGCAATACGCCACATCCAATATCGTCTAAGCCACACAGATGTTTTCTGTGTGGCTTGGACGAGCACCGCCCGAGGACTGGTTGTGCTCGTGTAAGCGTGCTTAAAAACCATCTCAAATTCACGAAAGTAATTTATGTGTTTTCTCGGCATCAGTGTTGGCACCCTGTGTTGGCACCCTGTGTTGGCACCCTGTGTTGGCACCTTGTGTTGGCACCCTGTGTTGGCACCTTGTGTTGGCACCCTGTGTTGGCACCCTGTGTTGGCACCCTGTGTTGGCACCCTGTGTTGGCACCCTGTGTTGGCACCTTGTGTTGGCACCCTGTGTTGGCACCCTGTGTTGGCACCCTGTGTTGGCACCCTGTGTTGGCACCTTGTGTTGGCACCCTGTGTTGGCACCTTGTGTTGGCACCCTGTGTTGGCACCTTGTGTTGGCACCCTGTGTTGGCACCTTGTGTTGGCACCCTGTGTTGGCACCCTGTGTTGGCACCCTGTGTTGGCACCCTGTGTTGGCACCTTGTGTTGGTGCTCCGGCACTCACAGAGGTTAACGCCCAGAGGTTAAGGGTGGTGAATGCCCCACAGCAGCCCCAGACCCCCTGCCCCCCCTGGTCGCCCCCTTCTTGTAATACTACTATACAAAATCTAGTATCTTATCACTTATAGATATACACTTTTTATCTTATTGTTTAAGAATCTTTTAATTCTATAATGAGGCGTCGTGTTAACAGACCCGAAACTATGTTATGTTCACAGTAGTTTTACACAGTTATTTAATTAAAACCAGTTTACACTGTTTTCTTATTTGAAATAACTTTCGATGTGAGGAATATTGTTCTTATTGTTATTAAACGTTATCACGTTATGTGGCACAGTGGCGACGTGATTCTTTGTACGGTACTGTATCTAGTAATACCAAGGGTACCAGTTGATAATACCAAGGGTACCAGTTGATAATACCAGGGTACCAGTTGATAATACCAGGGTACCAGTTGATAATACCAGGGTACCAGTTGATAATACCAAGGGTACCAGCTCATAATACCAAGGGTACCAGTTGATAATACCAAGGGTACCAGCTCATAATACCAAGGGTACCAGCTCATAATACCAGGGTACCAGTTGATAATACAAAGGTACCAGCTCATAATACCAGGGTACCAGCTAGAAATACGAAAGGAGAAACCCATTGTACCATTGAACCCATAGGGTGTATCTTGTGAGTACACAGGTAATAGTCCCGATAATCAACCCAGATGAGCCGTGGATGCCATATTGATCAGCGCTCACCTGTTGTGCCTCTGGAGGTAAGCGCTGATTATGTGCGCTCAGCTCTAGTAAGTGAACGCTGGCTGAACGCAGAGTGCCTAGAGATAAGCGCCTTGAAGATGAGCGCGAATTAGCGAATTCTGAGTGCAGGCCGGATGTTGAGCATTTTAATATAAGCGCGGAGCTCCTGAGAGTAGGCGCTCAGATATCCGTAGTTGACTGATACCTCCAGGTGAACGCTGCCCCCAGCCACACTACCTGCAGGTGAACGCTGCCCCCAGCCACACTACCTCCAGGTGAACGCTGCCCCCAGCCACACTACCTGTAGGTGAACGCTGCCCCCAGCCACACTACCTGTAGGTGAACGCTGCCCCCAGCCACACTACCTCCAGGTGAACGCTGCCCCCAGCCACACTACCTGTAGGTGAACGCTGCCCCCAGCCACACTACCTGTAGGTGAACGCTGCCCCCAGCCACACTACCTGTAGGTGAACGCTGCCCCCAGCCACACTACCTCCAGGTGAACGCTGCCCCCAGCCACACTACCTGCAGGTGAACGCTGCCCCCAGCCACACTACCTGCAGGTGAACGCTGCCCCCAGCCACACTACCTCCAGGTGAACGCTGCCCCCAGCCACACTACCTCTAGGTGAACGCTGCCCCCAGCCACACTACCTCCAGGTGAACGCTGCCCCCAGCCACACTACCTGTAGGTGAACGCTGCCCCCAGCCACACTACCTGTAGGTGAACGCTGCCCCCAGCCACACTACCTCCAGGTGAACGCTGCCCCCAGCCACACTACCTCCAGGTGAACGCTGCCCCCAGCCACACTACCTGCAGGTGAACGCTGCCCCCAGCCACACTACCTGCAGGTGAACGCTGCCCCCAGCCACACTACCTCCAGGTGAACGCTGCCCCCAGCCACACTACCTCCAGGTGAACGCTGCCCCCAGCCACACTACCTCCAGGTGAACGCTGCCCCCAGCCACACTACCTGTAGGTGAACGCTGCCCCCAGCCACACTACCTCCAGGTGAACGCTGCCCCCAGCCACACTACCTGTAGGTGAACGCTGCCCCCAGCCACACTACCTCCAGGTGAACGCTGCCCCCAGCCACACTACCTCCAGGTGAACGCTGCCCCCAGCCACACTACCTCCAGGTGAACGCTGCCCCCAGCCACACTACCTCCAGGTGAACGCTGCCCCCAGCCACACTACCTGTAGGTGAACGCTGCCCCCAGCCACACTACCTCCAGGTGAACGCTGCCCCCAGCCACACTACCTGTAGGTGAACGCTGCCCCCAGCCACACTACCTCCAGGTGAACGCTGCCCCCAGCCACACTACCTGTAGGTGAACGCTGCCCCCAGCCACACTACCTCCAGGTGAACGCTGCCCCCAGCCACACTACCTCCAGGTGAACGCTGCCCCCAGCCACACTACCTCCAGGTGAACGCTGCCCCAAGCCACACTACCTCCAGGTGAACGCTGCCCCCAGCCACACTACCTGTAGGTGAACGCTGCCCCAAGCCACACTACCTCCAGGTGAACGCTGCCCCCAGCCACACTACCTCCAGGTGAACGCTGCCCCAAGCCACACTACCTCCAGGTGAACGCTGCCCCCAGCCACACTACCTCCAGGTGAACGCTGCCCCCAGCCACACTACCTCCAGGTGAACGCTGCCCCAAGCCACACTACCTCCAGGTGAACGCTGCCCCCAGCCACACTACCTGTAGGTGAACGCTGCCCCAAGCCACACTACCTCCAGGTGAACGCTGCCCCCAGCCACACTACCTGTAGGTGAACGCTGCCCCAAGCCACACTACCTCCAGGTGAACGCTGCCCCCAGCCACACTACCTGTAGGTGAACGCTGCCCCCAGCCACACTACCTCCAGGTGAACGCTGCCCCCAGCCACACTACCTCCAGGTGAACGCTGCCCCCAGCCACACTACCCGCAGGTGAACGTCTACTTCAATAGCCTGTATTTAGCCGTTCTCCATAGTTCAAATTTAATCAACGTTTCGTCTGCTTCCGTAACTTTGTTCACTCTCAAGTTTAATCTGTATGTACTCACCGAGCTCAATACTGCTATATGTACTCACCAAGCTGAATGCAGGTGTATGCACTCATCAAGCTGAATATAGCCGTATGTACTCTCCAAGCTGCACTCAACTGAGTGTACTCATGGAGTTGTACTCACGTAATACACTGTCATCTACCCTACAGTGTTATCACCGTCACCGTCACCGTAGTCCTCCCCTTCACTGTCTCCCGCCCAACACATTCCCATCAATAACAGATTTTTTAACAATACGTGAGTTTTTTTTTCCTCAAATGCGCATCTTTCATTGCATCTTGAGCAGCATGCAATGTGGGTTGTTGCCGTCTTAGTTGCTGTGCAATATTTCGGGTATTTTACTAACTAGTTAATGTCAGCCAATTTCACTTGGCAGCGGGAAGGACCTTGTTACGTCTTAAGGCTCAACTTGATCACTGTCTTGCGTTCTTAAGATGACCGAGGTGACTAATTATACCCAAACTAGCTAGTTACGACTATCATCTTTTCTGACTGTAGAATTGCCGGTATCTTACGATTATGTGAAGCACCTGTGTGATTGGTCACAGTAAAGCACCCAGGGACCAATCCGCGCGGCGAACGACCGATGCGTAGTTATGATGGAGAAATTGCGTGATGAATTTCCAGCGTGTGATCACTCACACGCGCGTGTCTCCCCAGCGCTGCCTCACGCAACACACACACACACACACACACGCGCCCCACAACACAACCCCGCACGCTTGTGTCTTACGACCCTCCAGGCCGCGTGGACGGGTCGGACGGACAAATCGCGCCGACGCACGAGCCCCGACGGATCGGTTTCACGTTATGTTGCTAATGACGTCCCGACCCTGTCTTCCAGGCGCGGGGGGTTGCCACACGCCGCCACGCACCTGGGGCCTGCACCCACCCGCTCCCCCCCTTCCAGGGACCTCCAGGGGGGGGGGTAGAGGAAGGGAAGGATGAAAGGGATGGTGGGCACAGAGGGAGGGAATGAACGGAGGAAGAGAAGCAGGAGGGAAAGAGGCGAACAAAGAATATGTCGACAAGAGAGAGACAAAAGAATACAGAAGGAACGGATGGGGACGTGAGGATGTTGACGCAGACAAAATACGAAGGACAGAAGGGCATGAGAATACGGGAACAGCAGCAATATGGAAGGGGGCGGTCACACACACACACACACACACACACACACACACACACACACACACACACGCACACACACACACACACACACACACACACACACACACACACACACACACACACACACACGCGCGCGCACACACACAATATTTTCCTCACAATCTCAATCAATATTCTTCTCTTTATCTGTCAATCTCAGAGCCTCCACTTCACCACCACAGCCTACCTCACAGCCACTCGTCCTGCACAACACTGCAGTCATCTCTCACTTGCAGCTCCCACCATCAGAAACAGGTAATATGAGGACTGAAAGAACAAAGTGTCGAGGATGAGCCTCATCATATAGTATACCAATGCTGATGGAGTCACTCACAAAGTAGATGAAGTAAAAAGGAAGTTAATGAAAAAGAACCCGACACGACTACAGACCTGGAAGCCACAATATAGTCCATGATGTGGGATGAAATAGATTCAGAGAGGGAGATCAAGCAACAAGGAAAGAAAAGAAATAAAGATTAAGAGGGGGAGAGGCACTCCGAGCAATATACAAGTAGACATTTATGGAACTATCAGTTGGTGATACAGAAGGATACGCTACTTCGCCGGGACTCCCATAGTAGATGGACATATTGGAGCTGGTAATGCACAACCCACCAACAAGCAAGTGAAAACCCCAGGCAAGAATACAACGAAACACAGCAGCAGCAACACACAAACGCTTTGCCCGTAACGCTTTGCGTAATAGTGGCTTTAGGCATTGTATGTACTAGCTCTATAAATTCATCAAATTCATCATCATCAAAATGAAAGCAAAATCACTGTCACGAGGAACCCATAAATAATGGCCAGGTTGTAATGAAAAAAACAAGATCCATGATGTGAAGAAACCTAGAGTGAACAATCAGTGGAAGTTATGTCAAGAAACTTTTGAACACAACATACAAAAGATGACCTCAAGAGAACGAAATGGAACTATCAGGGTAAAGTGTCTATCAACTATCAGGATTTGGGATGGGACGGATGGAAGGAATGGTACATCTCCGCTCCCTCAAGAGAGAGTGGAGATGCACCTTGGGTTACAGGCCCTTATACTCACCCAGGATGAGGATAACAGCGAGGACCTGGAGGATGAACCTCCACGAGAAGCAACCATTGTGTTCTGGTCTTGGAATACTGGCATTAGTCACCGGGTCAGGAAAGGAAGATTAGACTACAGAAAAGGAAATGACCTCAGAGTGCCTCAGGTGCCTCAGAGTGTGAGTGCCTCAGGTACCTCAGAGTTTGAATGCCTCAGGTGCCACAGAGTGAGTGCCTCGGGTGTCTCAGAGTGTGAGTGCCTCAGAGTGAGTGCGCCTCAGGTACCTCAGAGTGTGAGTGCCTCGGGTGCCTCAGAGTGTGAGTGCCTCGGGTATGTGCTTTAAGAGGGGGGGGGGGGGTGGAGTCAGGGATAACAGTCCACGAAATGATATGATGTGATGTATCACATGAAGGTAATGGTGTTGTGGAGGCGTGGTTGTGTTGCCGTGGAGGCGTGGTTGAGGCCGTGGAGGCGTGGTTGTGTGGCCGTGGAGGCGTGGTTGTGTGGCCGTGGTGGCGTGGTTGTGTGGCCGTGGAGGCGTGGTTGTGTGGCCGTGGAGGCGTGGTTGTGTGGCCGTGGAGGCGTGGTTGTGTGGCCGTGGTGGCGTGGTTGTGTGGCCGTGGAGGCGTGGTTGTGTGGCCGTGGTGGCGTGGTTGTGTGGCCGTGGAGGCGTGGTTGTGTGGCCATGGTGGCGTGGTTGTGTGGCCGTGGAGGCGTGGTTGTGTGGCCGTGGAGGCGTGGTTGTGTGGCCGTGGAGGCGTGGTTGTGTGGCCGTGGAGGCGTGGTTGTGTGGCCGTGGAGGCGTGGTTGTGTGGCCATGGTGGCGTGGTTGTGTGGCCGTGGAGGCGTGGTTGTGTGGCCGTGGAGGCGTGGTTGTGTGGCCGTGGTTGTGTGGCCGTGGAGGCGTGGTTGTGTGGCCGTGGTTGTGTGGCCGTGGAGGCGTGGTTGTGTGGCCGTGGTTGTGTGGCCGTGGTTGTGTGGCCGTGGTTGTGTGGCCGTGGAGGCGTGGTTGTGTGGCCGTGGAGGCGTGGTTGTGTGGCCGTGGTGGCGTGGTTGTGTGGCCGTGGAGGCGTGGTTGTGTGGCCGTGGTGGCGTGGTTGTGTGGCCGTGGAGGCGAGGTTGTGTGGCCGTGGTGGCGTGGTTGTGTGGCCGTGGTGGCGAGGTTGTGTGGCCGTGGAGGCGTGGTTGTGTGGCCGTGGAGGCGTGGTTGTGTGGCCGTGGTGGCGTGGTTGTGTGGCCGTGGTTGTGTGGCCGTGGTTGTGTGGCCGTGGAGGCGTGGTTGTGTGGCCGTGGAGGCGTGGTTGTGTGGCCGTGGTGGCGTGGTTGTGTGGCCGTGGAGGCGTGGTTGTGTGGCCGTGGAGGCGTGGTTGTGTGGCCGTGGTGGCGTGGTTGTGTGGCCGTGGAGGCGAGGTTGTGTGGCCGTGGTGGCGTGGTTGTGTGGCCGTGGTTGTGTGGCCGTGGAGGCGTGGTTGTGTGGCCGTGGAGGCGTGGTTGTGTGGCCGTGGAGGCGAGGTTGTGTGGCCGTGGTGGCGTGGTTGTGTGGCCGTGGTTGTGTGGCCGTGGAGGCGTGGTTGTGTGGCCGTGGAGGCGTGGTTGTGTGGCCGTGGTGGCGTGGTTGTGTGGCCGTGGCGGCGTGGTTGTGTGGCCGTGGTGGCGTGGTTGTGTGGCCGTGGAGGCGAGGTTGTGTGGCCGTGGTGGCGTGGTTGTGTGGCCGTGGTGGCGAGGTTGTGTGGCCGTGGAGGCGTGGTTGTGTGGCCGTGGAGGCGTGGTTGTGTGGCCGTGGTGGCGTGGTTGTGTGGCCGTGGTGGCGTGGTTGTGTGGCCGTGGTGGCGTGGTTGTGTGGCCGTGGAGGCGTGGTTGTGTGGCCGTGGTGGCGTGGTTGTGTGGCCGTGGTGGCGTGGTTGTGTGGCCGTGGAGGCGTGGTTGTGTGGCCGTGGAGGCGAGGTTGTGTGGCCGTGGAGGCGTGGTTGTGTGGCCGTGGAGGCGTGGTTGTGTGGCCGTGGAGGCGTGGTTGTGTGGCCGTGGAGGCGTGGTTGTGTGGCCGTGGAGGCGTGGTTGTGTGGCCGTGGTTGTGTGGCCGTGGTTGTGTGGCCGTGGAGGCGTGGTTGTGTGGCCGTGGTTGTGTGGCCGTGGAGGCGTGGTTGTGTGGCCGTGGTTGTGTGGCCGTGGAGGCGTGGTTGTGTGGCCGTGGTTGTGTGGCCGTGGAGGCGTGGTTGTGTGGCCGTGGAGGCGTGGTTGTGTGGCCGTGGTTGTGTGGCCGTGGAGGCGTGGTTGTGTGGCCGTGGTTGTGTGGCCGTGGAGGCGTGGTTGTGTGGCCGTGGTTGTGTGGCCGTGGAGGCGTGGTTGTGTGGCCGTGGTTGTGTGGCCGTGGAGGCGTGGTTGTGTGGCCGTGGTTGTGTGGCCGTGGTGGCGTGGTTGTGTGGTTGTGTGGCCGTGGTGGCGTGGTTGTGTGGCCGTGGAGGCGTGGTTGTGTGGCCGTGGAGGCGTGGTTGTGTGGCCGTGGTTGTGTGGCCGTGGTGGCGTGGTTGTGTGGCCGTGGTTGTGTGGCCGTGGTGGCGTGGTTGTGTGGCCGTGGTGGCGTGGTTGTGTGGCCGTGGAGGCGTGGTTGTGTGGCCGTGGAGGCGTGGTTGTGTGGCCGTGGAGGCGTGGTTGTGTGGCCGTGGAGGCGTGGTTGTGTGGCCGTGGTGGCGTGGTTGTGTGGCCGTGGTGGCGTGGTTGTGTGGCCGTGGAGGCGTGGTTGTGTGGCCGTGGAGGCGTGGTTGTGTGGCCGTGGAGGCGTGGTTGTGTGGCCGTGGAGGCGTGGTTGTGTGGCCGTGGTGGCGTGGTTGTGTGGCCGTGGTGGCGTGGTTGTGTGGCCGTGGTGGCGTGGTTGTGTGGCCGTGGAGGCGAGGTTGTGTGGCCGTGGAGGCGTGGTTGTGTGGCCGTGGTTGTGTGGCCGTGGTGGCGTGGTTGTGTGGCCGTGGAGGCGAGGTTGTGTGGCCGTGGAGGCGTGGTTGTGTGGCCGTGGAGGCGTGGTTGTGTGGCCGTGGTGGCGTGGTTGTGTGGCCGTGGAGGCGTGGTTGTGTGGCCGTGGAGGCGTGGTTGTGTGGCCGTGGTGGCGTGGTTGTGTGGCCGTGGTTGTGTGGCCGTGGAGGCGTGGTTGTGTGGCCGTGGTGGCGTGGTTGTGTGGCCGTGGTGGCGTGGTTGTGTGGCCGTGGTTGTGTGGCCGTGGAGGCGTGGTTGTGTGGCCGTGGTTGTGTGGCCGTGGTGGCGTGGTTGTGTGGCTGTGGTGGCGTGGCCGTGGTTGTGTGGCCGTGGAGGCGTGGTTGTGTGGCCGTGGAGGCGTGGTTGTGTGGCCGTGGTGGCGTGGTTGTGTGGCCGTGGAGGCGTGGTTGTGTGGCCGTGGAGGCGTGGTTGTGTGGCCGTGGAGGCGTGGTTGTGTGGCCGTGGAGGCGTGGTTGTGTGGCCGTGGAGGCGTGGTTGTGTGGCCGTGGAGGCGTGGTTGTGTGGCCGTGGAGGCGTGGTTGAGGCCGTGGAGGCGTGGTTGAGGCCGTGGAGGCTGCCAGGTAAGAGGTAACAGCAGCCAGGACATAACCCG